TCGGCGGTATCTCCCAAGACGGCACTATCAAGAATGAGATGGGCCATGGGTCTATGGGAGAGGCTGTCGGTATCCTTACCCCGCCATGTTTAATCCTGGTAAACAACCCTAATCGGACTTCTCATGGCTCTCTGGTTAGCTACTTTAAATGCAAGGGCCTGAGGTCCCAGTCTCAGAGGGCGAGGCTCTCTCGTGACCTTCAGCGCCTCGGGGTGAATGTGTGTTGTGTGCAAGAGACCCGGTTTTCTTCTCATGACCGTGAGGATATACTGTCTAAGGGGTTCGCCTTTATTCAGCATGTTTTGATGGTCGTTCGAGGGGTGTCTCTTGGCTAGTGAGCAAGTCTTTGAAGGCTGCATGTACCCTTGTCTTCGTGAGATCCGGCGGGCAGGCTTTGCGTGCTGGATGTTACTATAAGGATAAGGCTTTACGTTTCATTGGGGTTTATGCGCCCAATGTTCATACTGAGCGGCCTGCTTTGTTTCGCAGATCGAGCCGCTTTTTGACGACTTCTCGTCGGGTAGTCTTAGCGGGGATTGGAATGCCGCCTTGACCCTGAGATAGATCGCATAGGTAAAAAAACCGGTACTAACAATCCTGATGTGAAGGCATTTCGGGCTTTATCGGCAGGTTTGATCTTGTCGATAAGTACCGGAATGAGCACCCTCAGGAGGTAGCATGGACTTGGACTATTAGTGGCGACTCGGTTCCTGGCTCGCGTGCGAGCTACCTGGACCGAGTGTTAGTTAGGAGAGTCGATGTAGGGCTCTTAGAATGTCCAAGTTTTCACTATATAGTTTATACGGATCATAGGCTTGTCCGGTCCGTGTAAACTTAGATAAGCCTATGTTAGAATGGCTGGTTACTGGAAATTTAACTGTTCACTTTTTGGTGAGCAGGATTTCGGGACCAGCTGCTACTAATGATTCAGAGGGAATTGACGGGGCGGTTGTGGGAAACGCCTGGTGGGGAAAATTAAAATCAAAAATTAGAACGTTTGTTGCCGATTTTAGCCGTCGGCTCAATCTAGATAGACGAATGCGTAAACGGGCTTTAGAGGAAAAGGTCGATCGGGCTGTTAAATCCCGTGTTAGTGGGGACATAGTCTTAGCTAAGGCAGAGTTGGCCTCCTTGCTTATCAAGAAGGATCAAGCTCTGGTAGTTAGGGCTAGGGCTAAAAAGAATGTCTTCTGAGGCGACGAATATGGCCGCAGAATTGCGCGCAGAGGAAAATCGAACGCGGATAAGCGACATATAGCGTGCGCCACATTGCCGGATAAGCGGACCGTGACTACAAGCGCGGGCATATGCGAGGCCTTTCGCTTTACTTTCAGGATCTTTTTCACCAGGGAGCCCGGTCTGAGCTCGGCTCAGTTCGACGCCTATTTGGCTGACTTTCCCTGCCTTGAGGCAGCTGAAGCGGCTAGGTGCGAGGGTCCCATAACAGAGTCGGAAATCTGGGATGCGCTGAAGCAGGTTGGCCTGGATAAGTCTCCGGGACTAGATGGACTTCCTACACGAAGTGTACTTGAGGCTGTCGCCCATTTTTGTTCCTTTGCTGCAGCTGATTTACAACCACTGGATGAGGCAGGGGGTCTTTACCTGACGCTTCACCAGGGGTGTGACTGTTGCTGCGTGGGACAAGAATGGTGGGGATGGGTTAGGGGAACTTTCGCCTTTGACGATGTTAAATACTGACTTAAAGATTTTTGGCGAAGATCTTAGCCAACCGTTTGCAGCTTGTCCTGTCTCGTCTGATTGGCCCCGAACAGACTTGTGCTGTGAAGGGCAGGACGATTCAGGATAACCTTCATATGGTACGCTTGATCTTAGAACAAGTCGACAGTGAAGCCGCGCTGATCAATTTAGATCAGTCCAAGGCCTTCGATAGGGTTGACCATCGGTTTCTGGAGGCTGTCCTGTCGGCGGCCGGTTTCGAACCGACTTTTCGCTCCTGGATCCGACTTTTATGCGTCCCCGGTGCGCTGGTGGAAGTGAATGGGGTAAGGTCGGAGCCTTTCGTATTGTCTCGCTCCATTCGTCCAAGGTTGTCCGCTATCGCCCTTGCTTTACGTTCTTGCGTTGGAACCATTCCTTCGCAAGTTAAAGGCGAATCGGTCCTGCGCGGAATTTCCCTACCTGGTGCTACCACCTCGGCCAGGTATTCTGCCTATGCTGACGACGTTTTCGGCTCTTGTGTCGAGCAGAGCCGAGATTGACGAAGTCAACAAAAGAAATCAGTGGGTATGAGATGGTAACAGGGGCCAGGATCAACCGCGATAAGTCTGTGGGCTTGCGGTTGGGTGCGTGGAAGGGAGTTTCTCTTCCCGGACCTTTCCCTGGACGGATGGGCGATCAAGATACTCGGCGTCTGGTTCGGTCCTGATCTCAGTTGGAAATGAACTGGTCGGAGGTACAAGGGAAGGCCGAGGTCGCGGTTAATCTGTGGTCTCGGAGGAGACTTTCCCTGAAGGGAAGGGTATGTGTTTCACACATCTATCCGATCCTCCTCTACCGACTCTCTGTGCTTCCACTCCCGTATGCCCGGCTAATGTCATTAGTCCGGACCTTGTTCTCTTTCTTATGGAAGGGCAAGGCCCCCATGGTATCTCGCGAGGTCTGTTGCCTCCATCCTCTGAGGGCGGTCTGGGGATGCCTAGCATTGAGATCCGTCAATATATGCTTCGCATTACCTTTTTTAGACCGAATGTGTCGTGGGTCGAATGAGGAGGGTGCCTTTTGGAAAGAAGACGTCCAGAAACATTTCCCGTCCCTGAAAAGTGTGCACTGCGTGCGAAGAAGAGGCCGGGTCAGACACCACGTGCGAAAGTGCCCTTTTATCGTGAATGTCGTCGCGCTCTGAAGCTCCTCTTACGGGCTTCGGTGGCCTCTCCAACGCCCAGGCGTTGTCTCGCAAGGCATTATATCAAGTTTTAGTTAGGGGTCCGTACAAGATGATCTGATTGGCGAGCTCGGTCTTACGGGCAGGAGGCTCGCCGACATGGCCTTGGCGCCCGGGTTGAAATGCCTCAATAACGATGAGGCATCACTCACCTGGCTGGTGATTCGTGAAGCCCTCTGGGTCGGCAAGAGACTTTGTTCAGCAGGCTTGGAGAAATATCCAAACTGTCGTCGCTGTCGGGGAAGTCGAGACCATTGGTCACGCCTTCTTTCAGTGCAGGGCGGTAATGCCAGCAGGTTTGTTGAAGGCCTCATGGTTCGCATGCTGCAGGGAAAGTTTTTTTGTCCTGGAAGCCTGTTCTGTTTGTAGCAATGTGGTGCCGCAGATGATTTAAGGCTGAACACTATGTGTTCTGTTGCTTACTAGGGGTTATGAGAGTCGTGATTTGGACGACGCGTCAGAAGGGATTCCATGAGGGCTTAGAAGTTCACTTCTTCCCTAACTGATCTTGTTCTTTAAGCATCAGCTTAAAGTCAAGATCAGGACGGAAAGGCGACGGCTCACCTCATCGGAATTCAGCAAAAGGTGGGTGAATCTCGTTTAATGTGCCGAGTAAAAGGGGCTGACCTTGAGTGGCATTTGGATGCGGTTAGGCATTAAGGATATTGTTTTCCTGGGTTAAACCTAGGCAACCCATCCCGAAGTTAGGTTAGATTAGGTTTTTTGCATTTTTTCCTTTAGTTTTTTCTATTATGGTAAACTTAGCTAGAGTGTAATTGCTCATTGGTCCCTTTTTTTATTTCTGTCCCCATTTTCTTTTCCTTTAGTTTAACTCCCCATCCCTCCCTCTTTCTTAGGTGGTTAGTGATGTCAGTTCTCTGGTTGATGCGGGGCGCCTTTTTTCGTTTTGTGTGTGTGTGTTTTTCGTATTTGTTGTTGTGTATGAATGAGTGTGTGCCTGTGTGAATGCCTGTGGAAGAATGAGTGGCTTTTTATTTTTCATAAGTCCCGCATCGTTTTTCGTCCGGTTAACTGATATTTCTGCCACATTCAAGAGTTTGTGGGGGTTTTATTACTAACACAAATTTTATTTAGTTTCTTGTAAATATATTTTGCCATTTTGTATATATTCATTGGGGATCATTTTTAGAAGTTGTTTTTTATGCCCCTCCCCCACAGACAATATTTTGTATATAAGGGGAATATTTAGGTTTTTTCATGGAGTCAAAGAGGTATTTTGGTGTCTGTAGTAAGAAAGGTATGGATAAATGTGTTGTTTTGGTGAAAGGATTATTGTTCTGTATGATAGGGTCAGTGATTGTGGCTAGCTAAGTTTTAATTTTAGGACAAGTGATGACCGTCTTTTACCCCAACCCCCTTTTTGGCCTTGTGCCGTATTTGTACTAATGTACAATAAATAATGATATGTATTAAGTTACAACCTGCTTTATTTTTGTCTGCCAGCTGGACGCTAGTTGGAATTCTTACGCCGGTACGTGCTTTTTATTATTGTTATTCTACAACTGTTGTCTTCATCTTTATTGTCATATTCATGTTTCAGCCATTGTATGCTCTGGTCTTCAAGAAGCGTTGGTTGAGTTCAATACCTGGCCACAGAAGAGGTGAACAAAAACTTAGAGAGTTGAGTTACTAAAGGGAAATAACTGAAACTGAGATATCCGGAAGTGACATGGCACGTAGAACTAGAACAATCTACTCTGGTGGACGAAATAAAGGGTTTGTTTCGAAATTCCAACAAATATCACCTGAAGAAGGCCAGAGTGTACAAAGACTGAAACATTGTGAATATGACAATAAAAATGAGGACAACAGTAAACAATGTAGTAAATAGTGTAAATAGTTATAATACCTTATACCAAACAATGTAAATAGTGTAAATAAGATGAAGAATTATTAATCAAAAGTTAATAATTTAAATGTTCCATTTAAGTTCCTTAAAATATAAATCTCACAATGTTTCAAGAAATCATTTGATAAATTGAATGCTTCAAGGGTGGAGTTGAAACAGTTGCACTTCTATTCTTAATATCATTTTCAGTAAAGATATTGGCTAAGTCTTATTTAGTCTGCTTACAGCCACATGGGAAATACTGATTCCCATATGATCACCGAAGTTAAGCAACATTGAACCTGGTCAGTACCCAGAGAGGTGACTGCTTGGGAACACCAAATGCTGTAAAGCTTGGATGAATAGGTGGTGTAATAAACAATGGCCCTGGATTTTTAATCAGAGAGCCAAGTTCCAATTCCTATTGGGTTTGATATATTCACTTACATGCAAATGCCCTTGGGAAAGTTATGAATCAACTCTTCTCCCACCAGCTGTGAGTTAATTAGTAAGATTTGTATCACTAAGCCAATATTATCTAAAAAATAAATAAATAAATATTTTCTGACTTTAAATAACCTGCAAAGGTTGATAAACTGTAGAAAATGATTGAATGAATGAATCAATTAGTCTGATGTTGTTTGTAGTAACTGGTATTCTAAGTACTTATCAGATTCAACATTGCTTAACTTCAGTGATCAGACAGGAATGGTGTCTTCAATATAACATTGTTATATAAGCATTTTGTTATGATCTATAAACTGTTTACATGTTCCTAGACTGTGGGTATTTGGGTAACAATTCTACATTTGTACAGGCTTAGCTGAAGAGCAATGAAAGGTCTTTATGTATTTAATTCTTCTTTGACTTGAATCCTTTTTCTGGTTTCCACAGAGAATTTGAACATAAATTGTCCAATATATTCTAAGCACTTTTGACTTTTCTATGTCATTATTAAAGAATTTTGTGGGGTTGAGAGGGAGGGATTTGTAAGAATGCATTGTGTTTCGTTGTTGGTTTTTAAGTCTTGTTTATTATGTTGGGTTTTTCATGTGTACTGGGCAGTGTGTACTTGGACTAAGTGAAAACAAGGTGAGTAATAACTGAGCAGTACTAAAAATAAAAACTAGACGAGATATCACTAGATATGTCAAGTAGAATGAGAACAGTCTAGCCCTGTAGATTAAATAAAGGTTTCAGTTCAGAATTCCCTATAGGTTATCAAGAACACTATACACTTGATGAGGAACAGAAGACATAGCCAAATTGTCGTGTTGACAACAAAAATGAGGGCAATAGTCTGAATATAAATAACTTAAAAATAATGGGTTGGAAATTCCATTATTCTGTTAATGAATTCAAATAAAATTACAGTTACAAAAATGCTAAATTTCTTATGTATGCTTTATTAAATTCAAGTTATTTGCTTCTTTGAAGACACACACACAACTTCCACAAATGGTACTAGTGTCAGATTAGCAATAATAACCTGGAATTGTGGCAGAAAGAGTTTGTATTGGGGAGGGGGTGGAATTTCCCAGGCTCATTATATTTAAGCAGTTTTTCCTGTCCATGCGACCATGACAAAACTGGAAGAGAGGAGTGTCCCAACCTTTCCCTATATTGTCCAAAATGTAATCCTCTTGAGTTTAAGCAAAAATTTCCAATTTTTACGACTACATACTGTCATTATCAAATTTAAACAAATGATTCAGGCTTTTTCCTTCTATTCAAATCTTCATCTTCAGAAAAACAGACTCCAGCATTTAGCTTCAATAAAAAAAAAAAAAAATTAAAATCCCAAAGTTAAAGTTAAGATAATGCAATGTGTAGACTTTAAGAATTAATTTAGATGCCAAGGCTTTTAATTATTCATTATTAAAATAAAAAAGCTTCTGCCACCAAATAATTTTCCAGGTCATTCAAATGAGTAAAATTTAAAAAAAAAAAATACAAGATGCCAGTAAAAATTTAAAACATCACACACACACACATTTATGAAGTTTAGATTCAAAACATCAGTATTGCAGGTTGCATTTTTGCATTAATAGGGAATAGGGTTAAGAGGAGTAATCTATCTTGATGCCTACATCAATCAATACCCATCAAACTAAGTAGCTTTTTCATCTAGAGTGTAGGGTCCTCACTTTAAACTCACTTATATTTATTTATTATATATATATATATATATATATATATATATATATATATATATATATATATATATATATATAAATACACACACACACACAAAGACACACACATATATCATGTCGTTTTTTTTTTAAATGTATTCCTGTACACACAATACATTTTATATATACCTGTACACAATTATATATGTATAGGTGCCCCTTCATATATACCCATGCACATGCACAACCATATCGTATAATATTAATAATTATTGTTAGATTCTTTTTTTTCAGCTTGTGTGTTGTACTGTTTTTCCTGATATCATGCATTGCATTGGGATACCTGGTTTGTTTTCTTACATATACACACACACATATGAACAGACATGCATGCATGCATAAACACACACATCATATATGAGTCATTGGGATTTATAGATTTTTAAATCAACTGTCTCCAAGTAGGTCCCTGGCCTCTCCACCATCTTGTATACCACAATGTGTTATTATTGTCTTGAAAATGATCAGCGAAATAACATATGCCATGTTCTTGTTTTATTGTTGAGAATTGTGAGATTAGTGCACTCTGGATGCATTTCCTTTTCACTAACTTCTGTTCTCTCCTGACCAAACTTTCGTTAAGTCAATTCCAAAGGCGACTTGCTGACCTTTTTCACTTTTCAAAGATGTTCACACGAACAAAACTAAGAAATCTGAAAGTACATTTTCATAATACATGGAGAGAGCTGCATCTCCATGAAAACTCAACAATAATATCAGATATCATCAAAAGTTCTCGCAAACATGTACTTGACACTCAGTATAAATTTCACCAACCTAAACTTGACAATTTTATAAATTGAAGCTTCTTCTGTTGAAATTTTGTACACCAACATCATGCACAGCAAACAAACAAAACCTAACAAACATAATCAATTTAATGTGGAGCATTGGAAAACAAAATTTTAATACCAACCACTGAACACTTTCTACACTATTGACATATAATCCAGGGTGTGCTATGACTGACCTGCTAGAGAATTATACAGCACTTTGATGATACAGTACTTTAGAGAAGTACATTAGTGCCAACGTATTTAAAAACACATCACAATCACACTGTTTATGGACTACCCTGTTTTGATAGAGTAGAAAAATGCAAAGGACATATCAAAGATGCTGTTTGGCTTCAATGAAAGGAAAACAAAGAAAGGGAAAAAGGTGGAGGTGATAACATTCATGTGTTTAACTGCGGCTTCAATAAAATGGAAAAACTTGTCAATTTCAAATCTTTTCATTTGTACCCTCTTGCTTCTTTAAATAATAACCTTCATTTTTATTGCAATATTTGGCTCAAATATCTAACACTGCAATAGGGTAATTTCCACAATTATTTTATGGATGTAAAACTTGCAAGGAGCTTATTTAAATAAATAAAAATCTTTTTGTGTAGCACTAGTTGTTGTTGTTATTATTACTACTACTACAGCATGGAATAGATGCAAAAGACAAAATGAAAAAATGCTTTATCATTGTATAGTTTTCTGAATGATAATTCAAGGCCAGATTGCTAAAAATGCAGAGCAAATGTTTATTAAACTAGTTTTAATCATCATGGTGAGTTTGATGCCCACTGGATGCCTGACAATACTACCCAGTTTTAAAATATTTGCCAAAAATCAGCGAATTATCAAATTCAGAATGTGACACCTTAAAGGTTGAAGGGATAGCGCGATACTATACCTAAAGACAAGGCATGATTTATTAAATTCAGAGGGTTTGTTGATTTTTATTTTTTCCTTGGATAAGGGCACAGGGGAAGAAAAGAAACATCTGATTTTTCTGACATAAAACTATATGGTTGAAGTCAACAAGTGACTAAAAGGGAGACATTGTTTTTAAAATCCAGGTTAAGGAAGAATTGCCTGCAGTCCATAATCCAGTGGAAGTCGGTGGAGAGAGAAAATTTAAGTTCTGGAAATAAAGGCATAGTTAAAGAATTTTTTTTTTTTCTTTATCACTTGTCAAAAGAGAAGGTGTGAATTTCTGGTGCGGTGAAATTTCTTTATGTAAAAGCTGAAATAGAGACACTACTGCTTTTAAAATCCAGACTATGGAATTATCTATTGGCTGAGACCCAGTAATGAAAAAAAGTCAGTTGAGAGAGAAAATTTAAGGTTTTCTGAAAACAAAGGGAAAGTTGGAGAAATTGCTTTTTTTTTTATCACTTGTCAAAAAGGGAGGAGAAGGTGAAAAATTGATGAAGAGATGAGATTTCTTTGGATAAGGGCCGAAATACCACAAAAGGCTGTCAAGGGAACAGCTGATGAATGTCCAATTGAAAAAGTGGCGGAAGAGGTCAAGGAATTCCACTGATGAAAATTTGGTAAGTTAAGCCACACCTGCTTGCCCATGCAGTCTAGAGATCGGATTGGTCTGGTGACCATAGAAATGAAGAGCCTAAGTGGAATCTGAAGGGAGTTGGAGGAATTGCCTACACCCCTTGGGTAGTATTGGTATGAGGCACAAATACAAGAAGGAAGAAATTAGGGTGGATCGATATTCTGCTACCACTACTCCTCAGAGGAGGGGCTTCTCCAAAATTAGGTATGCAATTAATTTCCCAGGGTCAAACAAAGAACTCTCTGTTAAGGGAATAGCTGAAATCCCAACCCACATTAAACCCCATGGCAGTTTTGGATGGAGGTCCATATAAAAAGAGAATCAAAATGATCGATGGAGAAGTAACCAAACATCAGCCAAGGGATGACCACTTTTTCAAAGTTGGGATGAAACCATTACATTAGCAAGAAAGAATACTTTACTCAACAGTAATTTTTCTAAAATTACATCTTAAAATTTATTTCTTTTATTTTCACATTAACACAAATTACATTTATGCTATATTTTTGTTTTTGTAGCATCTTATTCATTCATTATACTAAGTTTAATAAAAGTGTATAGAATAAAAATTATATAAAAATTATATTGGTTATATAAGGTTAAAGAAAATTTATTTTTAAACATAAATAACAGATTCTTGATTATAGCACTGCTGGTCTTTCGTACTTAGGTTTTATTTTTACTTTTTCGCGCGTTTTTTAACAGCGGGGTAGTACAAAACGTTATTTTCATTCTATTTTAAGTAAGAAGCATTACTTTTTGAAAAAAATCTAGTTAACTTCGAAACTCATCTCTAGGACAAATATTCGATT